TCTATCTATCTATCTATCTCTATCATCTCTCTATCTATATTTCTCTATCTACCCATCTATATCTATCTATCCATCTATATCTATCTCTATCTCTATCATCTGATTATCTATATTTATCATCTATCATCTACCTATCTTTATCTATCTACAGTATCTATCTATCTATCTATCTATCTATCTATCTATCTATCTATCTATCTCTATCTATCTATCTATCATCTCTATATTTCTCTATCTATCTATCTATCTCTATCTATCTATCTATCTCTATCTATATTTCTCTATCTATCTATCTATCTATCTATCTCTATCATCTGTCTATCTATATCTATCTATCTATCATCTATCATCTACCTATCTTTATCTATCTATCTGTATGTCTATCTATCTATCTACCATCTATTTATTATCTATCTATCTATCTATCTATCTATCTATCTATCTATCTATCTATCTATCTATCTACCTACCTACCTACCTACCTACCTACCTACCTACCTACCTACATCTATCAGTCTGTCTGTCTGTCTGTGTCTAACGTAACAGCTGCAGTGATTCACTTAACAAACTGTGGCAAGAAAATTCACAAAATGGGACAAAACTCACTTAACCACTGCCTTGCTTAGCAATAGAACTTTTGGGCTCGATTGTGGTTATAAGTCGAGGATTACCCCTATATAGGAAAGCCCTGATTTTCAGCAACCGCACACTGAAGCCTCTCCACATCAAAGCTGGCTCCTCTTAAGAGAGAAAACCCAAGGCAGCTGAAACACAACGGGCAATGACCACGTCTTCCCGCACTAAATTATCCTTCATGTGACGCATTGCTTGCCTTTGTGCTAAATCTATTACCAAACAAAACTAAATGGCTTCCTTCCAAATCCACTGGAGGAACAATCCAACCCCCTTTTCACTTTTAAGCAGAGAACCGCTTCTGCCCGAGGCCATAAATTGTTAACGTTAACAAAAAGTTTCCATATTCAGTCCTAAAGTCGGTAAGCAGAAAAACAAAACATTCTAAGGGGTACAGCCGATTATATATTTAGCAATAAATAAAAAGTCAAACCGTAAAGAAGGCCAGTGGTGTTCTGAATATGGATTTCATTAGAACTTTCACCCGCTTTAATATATAGCTCTAAAATGGTTTAAATCATGAAAATTAGGCCCTGTAATTTCTTTTGAAGGTCCACATAGGACAGCTTCCATTTTAGCCCAGCTAACCAGAAATACATCACTTTAAATAGTAGCATTTAATAAGCCAAGATCCGCCTAGATCCATCTTAAGACTGCTAAAAGCTACTGACACCAGGTCACCTACCAAGCTAAGTTTGGGTAATACATCTGCTGAAGAATTACTTTTGTATTAAGAGGATGGAAAAACACACAGCCACCCAAGATGCCTGACCACATGCAGGCGTTTCGAACATCTGCCTTCCTTTACAGATCAACCTAAATAATTATTATTCCTTTATTTAACACAGAAACATGCTAAATCAGCCCTTGAGGGCTGCCTTCTTTTCAAAAAGAAAAAAAAGAAGGAAGTCGCAGATGTTGAGCGATGCAAAATTCTGCATAACCTGGAATTAAATTCAGAGTCACAAGAGAGGTTTCAGTTCACACCGCTAACCGAAAAGGCCACTGCAAGGGTGTCTCTGTTAGGCAAGTTCAGATGAACGCTACAACGTCTTGCCATTCAGCTGAAGAGTTGGAACACCAGGGTAGCAAAAGCTGTTTTGAGGAGAATGTATATTTTAAAGCTATCCTGTAACTCAAATAATTTTAGTCTGGTAACAGAACAAGATGAGAGCCAGTCTGGTCTAATATAAGGGTAGGCAAACCTTGGCTCTTTTATGACTTGTGGACTTCAACTCCCAGAATTCCTGAGCCAGCATGGCTCAGCATGGAAACCTCTCCATGCATGGCTCAGGAATTCTGGGAGTTGAAGTCCACGAGTCATAAAAGAACCAAGGTTGCCTACTACTGATCTAGGCCAGGGGGAGGGAACCTTGGCCCTTTTATGACTCGTGGACTTCAACTCCCAGAATTCCTGAGCCAGCTGAAACTGGACTTTCTCTAAATCAGGGATCTTCCAACTTGGCCCTTTTATGACCTGTGGACTTCAACTCCCAGAATTCCTCAGCCAGAAAAGCTGGCTGAGGAATTCTGGGAGTTGAAGTCCACAAATCATAAAAGGGCCAAGTTGGAAGACCCCTGCTCTAACTGATTAAAAAAGGTTATGTTGTTGAAGCTTTCATTCACCAAGGCTGGGCTGAGTGATGGACATCAGCTCCCAGAAGCCTATCTGCCTCTCCCAAAGATGCTTTTTCACAAGGCAACTGGACTTTCTTATTAACAAGAACAAGAACGTCCAGTTGCCTTATGAAAAAGCATCTTTGGGATAACTATGACTTGGATGACTGAGAATCTCCATAGACATCTATCTGCCTCTCTCTCTTTCTCTCTCTGTCTCTGTCTCTCTCTTTCACACACACACACACACCCAAGCATTGCAAAATCCAGGACTAAACAGTTATTAAGCTCCCAATTCTGTATTCTTCCAAATAATCCAGGGGACTTATAAAAGACAAGACTAGATTAATTTATGCATGGTGTCCATAATTTTCCACCTTTGGTCCCTGTTTTGGCCTTACACATTTTAAGATAAAATCAGGAACGCTGGTTTTAGGCTCACATTGGAATCCACTTTGAACTTAAAGCACTTTCCTGGCGATCAAATTAAACCAAATTATGGTATTGTATTGTATAATACATTCTACATTCTAACTAGAATATTGCTTGCTTGCTTATATAATGTATCGGTTGAAACGTTGGTTATTTGGTGGGAGAGTGACGGTTGTAAAAAAAAACAACCTTCATATCACAAAAGAGGGTGCAGGTGCAATCAACCGCAGCTCCCACCCATCTTTTTTTTTTTCCCCTTCCAACTTTGTTCAGATAAATATCCTATTCACCCGGATTCTACAAGTGAATTGGGCAGAGTAATGCATTTTATTATGTTCAGAGGATTCTGTGAAATTAAAAAGAAGAGCCTTGCTCTCAAATTAGTTTAGCAACTGTATGAACAATCGAGTTCCTTCTTGGATCCAGGAAGCAGAAAGAAAGGAAGAAAATGGATATACAGGGTTCTGTACTTACTGATCTGTGGGGATGGCAGGACCCGGGCTGCTCGGACAGGACCGTGTCTGATAGAGTAAAGTTCTTGAGCTTCGCCACTAATCTGCTCAACAAAAGAGATACATCATCATCATCATCATACATACATACCTTAGATAAGACAATGCTTTTACTCACATTTATCAAAAGGCATTTTAATTATTTTCAGGCTTTTAACATCGCTTATTCAGAATGAAAAGAAATTCTTGCACAGACAGTGAAAAAAATGAACAGATCTGTACAAAAAAAAAGAAAATATTTCTAATATTAGTCTGAGCCAAAGCTCTTTTAGATACTAGGAAGATTAATACCACTTTACAAGGCCTTGGTAAGGCCACACTTGCAATACTGCATCCAGTTTTGGTCACCTCGATGTAAAAAAGATGCTGAGACTCTAGAAAGAGTACAGAGAAGAGCAACAAAGATGATTAGGGGACCAGAGGCTAAAACATACGAGGAACGGTTGCTGGAATTGGGTATGTCTAGTTCAATGAAGAGAAGGACGAGGGGAAACATGATAGCAGTGTTCCAATATCTCAAGGGCTGCCCCAAAGAAGAGGGAGTCAAGCTATTCTCCAAAGCACCTGAAGGCAGGACAAGAAGCAACGGATGGAAACTCATCAAGGAGAGAAGCAACCTAGAATTTAGGAGAAACTTCCTGACAGTTAGAACAATTAACCATTGGAACTCCTTGCCTCCAGAAGCGGTGAATGCTCCAACACTGGAAGTTTTTAAGAAGAGACTGGACAGCCATTTGTCTGAAATGGTATAGGGTTTCCTGCCTGAGCAGGGGGTTGGACTAGATGACCTCCAAAGTCCCTTCCAACTTTATTATTATTATTATTATTATTATTATTATTATTAATCATGTAGCCCTAACTTTTATTTATTATTTTATTTAAAACCTGCATAATGACACAAGCATGTTCCAATAACGGGTAATAATTCAGGTGTTTTAGATGCTCCTAATGCCTCCAGGCTACATCGCCAAATCAACCCAAAGGTGCTTTTTCAAAAGGTAACTGGACTTTCTTTGTTTTTTTTTCCTTGAAGATGTTTCGATTATCATCCAAGGAGCTTCGTCAGATCTCTGCTTCTTCAGAACTGAAGAAGCTTCTTGGATGAGAAGCAAAATGTTTTCAAGGAAAAAACAAAGGAAGTCCAGCTGCCTTTTGAAAAATCACCTTTGGGACCAACGTGACCTGAATGATTGAGAATATCCATAGACATTTACAGTACTTAATGAAGCTTTAATTTAATATATTATCTTTTTTGCAATCCTAAGCAATCCAAATTTCTCCTCCAAATGGCTTGAAAAATTGATTGGAAATAAACTGATCTAGAATAAATGGTACATAACTTCCAAATGAAAAAAAGATATACTCTCATCTATGGTGGACATGCCCAGTTGCAAAAAAATACTGGTCTACAATAAGAAAATGGATCCAAGAAATAATAGACCAACCTGTAGACTGGAAACCAGTGATCTTTTTGCTGGGTATTTTAAATAGAAAATATAGTAAAGAAATATGGTACTTAATTTTACATATAATAACGGCGGCCAGAATAGCATATGCACAGTGCTGGAAAAATGAGAATATACCATCAGAGGAAGAAGTAATAAGAAAAATCCTGGACTGTGCTGAGATGGACAAATTAACAAAAGAGATAAAAGAAAAGGAAGACACAGAGTATTATATAGTATGGAACAAGGTGTATGTCTGGTTGGAGACTAGAAATAATAGAGGAGAATAAATATGGAAAGGTCAAAAGTGAAAATATGTGTATAATAATGTATAATAATAATAATATGAATTATTCTTAGTAAGAAGTAGAACATGAAGGAAGAAAAATGTAAATAAGAAATAATGGGGCTATAAGGACAAATATTCTAAAGAAGAATAAGGAGGAAATGTAAATATTAGATTACCGTTACGTAATTGCTGTAAAAAAAGGAGGAGTATATATTCTGTGTGTATGTGTGTTATGTTTTGCTTTGTTCTGTTTTGTCTTGTTGGTTAAAAATAAAAATGTAAAAAAAAAAAAAGATATACTCACCAGTTTTATTATCAAAATTACTCATCTATTACCAGAGTTTTATGGATGGATTGTGTATGATTTTATTAATTGGACTGAGCTATATATTTTATTGTATTTGTAAGCCACTTAACTTGCCCAATAAACCATCATAAAAGTAAGATAAATAAATGTTTCTGCACGCTCAGCCTAAAGTAGGAGTGTAAGGATCTGAATAAAAACCACGAGGGTCAAAATTATACTTCTGTTAAAACATCTTCCAAATGTTTAAAGCAGGAAATATAACAGAGCTGTACTAAAATAAACGCAAAATCCTATCATTATTCGAACATTACTTTATACTGTCTTTTGTTATTTCATCTGTAATTCCATAATGAAGCAAAATCCAAATATTTTATGAACGATAAAGCCAAAAATAAAAAATACTAACACTCCAATCATATGTTAACTACAGACTGGATGAAGGAAATCTAATAATTTTCTTTCAATTAAAAATTCCTAATATCGTATCAATCTGCTAGAAAATGTTAAAAGTATTAACAGAGGAATATTTCTAATTTAATATATTAATATATTCTTGAAGCAGTTATTTTTTACTACATTTGAATTTTCCCCATAAATTCTATGGAATTTTTAAATCACCTGTTTACATCAATTTTCATCTCAGATTTTGTAAAAATAATAATAATAATAATAATGCATTTAGAACCACAAAGGAAGAATGTTTCCTTGGAGTAAGTATTTCCAAACTTCCAAACAATTAAACTTCTAATCATTGGAACTTTCCACAGAACCTTCAGAACTTAAAGAAAAATATGGGACTTATTCAGTGAATTAAAATAACCTAATAAATTATCAGACTGATGTATAATATGCATAAGTTTTGATAAAGAGATGTCATTATTTACAGTTCTACCTGCAACTGAATAGACCTCAGGATTACAATATAAATGTGTACAACGTAAAACAACAGGCCACTAAAAATTATATTAGAATTTCCAAAAATAAAAAAGAGCAAGAAACAATCCCAGTGCTGAACGTATGAACACGGAGAACTAACAGGAATTTGTCAAAGAACAAGGAAGGAAGGAAGGAAGGAAGGAAGGAAGGAAGGAAGGAAGGAAGGAAGGAAGGAAGGAAAAGAAGGGAGGGAAAAAGGGAGGAAAAGAAAAAAAGGAGGAAGGAAGGAAGGAAGGAAGGAAGGAAGGAAGGAAGGAAGGAAGGAAGGAAGGAAGGAAGGAAAAGAAGGGAGGGAAAAAGGGAGGAAAAGAAAAAAAGGAGGAAAGAAGGAAGGAAGGAAGGAAGGAAGGAAGGAAGGAAGGAAGGAAGGAAGGAAGGAAGGAAGGAAGGAAGGAAGGAAGGAAGGTGAGAGCTATGTGCTCAAAAGGATTGTAATGTCAGGCATAAAGTATCAGGCCTGTAAATTCCAATCAAGCTCATGTTATAAACAAGAATGTAGTCAATAATGGTCAACACTAAATTGGTGCTAGATAAAAGTTAACAGAATTCAAGAAGGATTAGGACTAGGAGTGACATGATACCAGTGTTCCAATATCTCAGGGGTTGCCACAAAGAAGTGGGGGGGGGGGGTGTCAAGCTATTCTGCAAAGCACCTGAAGGCCGAACAAGAAGCAACGGATGGAAACTAATGAAAGACAGAAGCAACCTAGAACTAAGGAGAAACTTCCTGATAGTTAGAACAATTAACCAGTGGAACAACCTGCCTCCAGAAGTTGTAAATGCTCCAACACTGGAAGTTTTTAAGAAGAGACTGGACAACCATTTGTCTGAAATGGTATAGGGTTTCCTGCCTAAGCAGGGGGTTGGACTAGAAGACCTCCACGGTCCCTTCCAACTCTGTTATTCTATATTCTAATGTTGGATTTAGACTGCTTGTGGGAACATAATGATTCTAGGCTGATTCCTCTCTTGTCTCCACCCCCAGGCTCTGCCTGTCCTTCTCCTACATCTAGCACAGTGGTGGCAAATCTATGGCATGTGTGCCAGAGGCGGCACTCAGAGCCCTCTTTGTGGGCACACATGCCGTTGCCCCAGCCTCCCCTCCCCCCACGCCCCCCTCCCACCAGCAGCCCCCCTGGAGGAGAGTTGCCCCTGAGCATGGCCCACCCGGAGCAGTGCAGCCAAGGACATGGCAGCCAGGCAGCGTAGACAAAGACTCTGCCCTCACGCCCCAACGCGCACAGTTGATGCTGCAGGGTGTGAGCAGAGGGTGTGGCCGCCATGGCGCTGCTGGACTGCCTGGGCAATCTGCAATGGGCCCTGGAGGTGGTGAGTGGCCCTGTGGGCAGGTGGGGTGGGGGCAGGGCAGGGCAGGGGGTGGAGTGGGGTGGGGCCAGTTTTTGGGCACTCGGTCTCTCAAAGGTTCGCCATCACTGGGATAGGGTTTCCTGCCTGAGCAGGGGGCTTGATTAGAAGACCTCCACCGTCCCTTCCAACTCTGTTATTGTATATTCTAATATTGGATTTAGACCGCTTGTGGGAACGTAATGATTCCAGGCTGGTTCCTCTCTTGTCTCCACCCCCAGGCTCTGCCTGTCCTCCTCCTACATCTAGCACATCGAAATCTGGCACTGTTATAAGTGGTACCCCAGTCCTCCAAAAACAGTTCCTGACTGTAAGCGATGCCTCCCGGGAGCTTCCGATTGCCTGTTATGGGTGACTGAGAGATTATTTACTGTGGAAAGTGTATTAAGTCGCCCACGTTCCAAGGAAAGATAATATGAGTTTGTCAGAGAGGAGCGCCTAGGCACTTTTTCATCCAAGTCAACTGTGTACTTAGCTCTCCCGAAAGCCTATAAAGGAGTCAAAGAAAAACAAAAACATTCTAGCGTGGTGACAGGAACTCTGCAGTTATGATCTGTCAAGTTTATGGAATGTTGCTTTAACAGAGGCTATTAAACCGCTCCGTAAAGGCTCAGGACAAACACCGGCTCGCCAAGTTCTTACGTTTCATTGTCTAATATACTGAGACTCAGGGCATAGAAAATAAATAAGTCGAGCGTCTAT